CAGAGATCTGCCTGTCTCTACCTCCCAAGTGCTGGGATTAAAGACTTGTGCCACCACCCCCTGGCTTGGAATTTTTTCTTTCTTCTTATTTTTATTTATTTTCCTTGTGTTTGAGATTCAATCCAGAGCGTCACACATGATCAGCAAGACCTCTGCCACTGAACTATGTTCTTGACTCCCACCATGTTCTCTTGATAGAAAGATATACAAATGCTGAGAGTGCTATGAAAAACAGAAACGTAGGACATTAAAGTAATGGTGAGCTTCAAACTAGAGGCATGCTTACATCACCTAATGCCAGCAATGAACAGAGAGATGCTCTTTTAGGAGTACAAGTTTGATAGAGATTAGAGACAGGTGCTTCAGACATTGTGTAAAGCAGAAGAACATGAAGAGCTGACTCACCCATATGCTCATATCCTCCCTACACAGGGAGGCCGATGGAGAAGCCACACAGAGATCCCTGTTTTATGGGTGGGTGTTTTGGAGAAGAGTGGGAACACATACTGTGCTATTCGCCCACCCCATCACTTCAATTTTGTTTTCACTATCTGATGCTCACAGGGATGCAAAGTCAGGTTTTGGAGGATGGATGATTACTATACAAGTCATTTTAAATGTTTTTTAAAATTTTATGTCAGAATTCCTGATGACCCAGTGAGGCAGGTTGTACTGTTATGCCCAAGTGATCCCCAAATGAATTCATGGAGCCTGGTTTCCGATGCAAATTACGTAAGGGTATTTAATATCCAAACTCAAGTTTGGACCATCTCTTTCCAACACTCCAGTGCGATAGGTGAGGAAAGTGTAGTGCTGAGCCCAGGGAGGGGAGAGCTTTTAAAGGGGAAACACCATAATCAGGGGAATTCTTGTCCTGTAGTCTTGGGTTGGGTAAGAAGGAGGGACGTAGGGTAAGTTTCTGAAACCATCAGTTAGTTTTTGGGTGTGAGACATTTAACAAAGAGGCATAAATTACTGACAAGTTATTTTAAAGGACAGGAGACTTCCTAGGAACAGCTGGACCTCGTTAAATTTTATGGCCCTGCTCCCCAGCTCCTTAATTGACTATCACAGCACATTTCTGGAGCTGAGATCTCAGTTTCAGATGAAGCCCTTCTTTAAAATGGAGTTTGAAAGTCAGTTCCTCACAGTACCTTCATGCTACTTGATAAAACTGGGACAAAGAACAAAACAGCTGTATTTTTAAAAGAATTAAAAAAACTAAATATTCATCACCTACAAACATACATGTCTTTGTGTATGTGTCTGTATGTTATATATATGTGAGTTCAGCATCCGTACAGACCAGAGGAGTTGGATGCCCCTGGAGCTGGAGATACAGGTGGTTGTGAGCCACCTGATATGGGTGATGAAAATTGAACATGGAGCAGTATGGTCTCTTAACCACTGAGCCAACTCCCCAGCCCACAGCTGTGTTTCCTGTGGGTAGAAATGACCTACTGTTGCTTGCTGTGTGTAACCCTACTCTCTAGGAATGGATTGAAGCCAAGTGTTTGCTAGTCTAATATTTTTCTCTGAAATCTAGTCTTGCATGGTGGTTTGGACTTCAGGTAACTACTACTTAAAGGGGGAGATTTTATGTGTGAATAGAAGAATGAATAGTAAATGAGGAAAGGAAACGAACAAATAGGCTATTATGTTTTGGATGGGGGGCTCAAGAGAACACTGAGATGAATAGCTGGGCAATAAGACCTTGTGCTGGGTGCTCTGATGGAGAGTTCAGACCCAGTGCCAGAGAAGGACACCATTACTGGGTCTCTGAAGAGAATCAGGCCCTTATAGAAGAGGAAGGAGCCTCTAAGCCTCTTATTGATAACTTTTTAAGGATGGTGCGAGGTTTCAACAGGAGTTTGCAGCCAAGTTCTCTGATTTCTATGAGGGACTAGTGTGACGTGATAACTTAGCATTAATACCATTTGATGTTAACTCTCTTTCCAGGGGAGCAGTCTTGTCTGCAGTGCACCCGTGGGGTGCCTGTCCATTTCTGTTAGATGGGGAGAGCTGCTCTAAAGTAGAGACTAGATTCTATCATTACTTATAGGCTCTAGGATGGAGAAAACCTGGAGTATCCTAACAGCCTGAGAGGTTTGGAGCAAGAGATGATACTATCGTTATTTAAGTGTACCAGAAACCAGAAAGGAGGAAGCCTTCTGCGTCAGAGATCAGGGTCAAAAGTGAACCTGTAAGCTGGAGTGGGTACAGATTCTCTCACCAGCCACACTGGCCCCATCATCATTAAAGGAAACTCTTAAAAGGACCTCTGTAGTAGGCTGTACTGGGCAAGAACAATTAGAAAGCTGCAGGGTTATTCCTGAGTTCAAAGCCTCAAGGCAGTTAAAACTTCACCCTTCTATTATGACCTGGGATATGCTGTTTCCAGTTTCTTCTAGGACTGACCTCTGGTCCAACCACCTAGACACGCGTATGGCCCTTTCTGGGCCCCAAGTTCACTGACAATGAAGAGATCAGCCCTTCCTATGTTTAAAACGTAGTGTTTAAAGTAGTAAAATGCCCACCAGTTTACCTTCTTACCCATTTTAGGTACGAAGTCCAGTAAAGCTAAGTGCATCCACATTGTACTTTTGAGAACTCTGCTTTGCAAAATGAAAAATCTGTCAAGCAGCTTTAAACACTCGGCCCCCAGCTTCTGTCTACTCCATTTGACTTTAATACATTTGACTACTGAGCACTAATGGAATCTTTTTTAATGTTTCCCCTAGTTCACATACTTTTTTTTTTGGTCAATGAACAACATGTGCCTGCTTTTGGGGAATCAAGTCTGCTGCCAGCCTCTAGGCCTTAATTTTTTTCATTGTCCTATTGTCCTTAAATTTTTTTCATAGTGTTTAAATTCCTGAATAGTGTGCCAGAATTTTTTTTCTTAGACTTTTTCTTTGTCCAAGGTATCCATTTCTTCTACCGTGTCTTCAATGCCTGAGATTTTCTCCTCTGTCTCTTTTACTCTGTTGGTGAGACTTTTCTCTAATGTTTTGAGTTTCTAAATATTTTATGCACAAATTTCCCTCTGTTTGAGTTTTCTTTATTGGTTCTAATTCCATGCTCAGATCTTAAACTGTTCTATTCACTTCTTCCACTATCACCATGGTTTTTATATATTTCTTTAAGGGGTGTCTTCATTTTCTATTTGCGAACATCCATAGGCTGCTTTAAGGTCTTTGTCTTGTTTGTCATCTGTGCTGTCATTCTCAGGGCCTGCTAAGGTAGGGTTGCTGGGATCTAGAGCAGACATAATTGTCCTGACTGGTACTGCTTGTGGTTTTGTGCTGCAGTCTGGGAATCTGGCTTTGTTAGGATTGGGATTCTAGGTGTTGATATCTGGTCTTGTTTTTGTTAGGTAGGGGTTTTGTTCCTTGTATCTGTAGAGCTCCTTTTCTTTGGAGGATGTGACTGTTACTGGATAAGGAATTGCTCTCAAATCCTTCTAGGTATAGCCACTGGGTGGAGTTGGGGATGGGGTAAAATTTGTTTCTAGATATTTGGGAACTAAATTTAGGAATTGGGATGATCTTGGGGAGGGGCACGATGGATTCCATGGGAGGGGAAACCAGGGCATTCCACCAGGATCTCCTTAGTCCTCTGGGAATAGGGAAGAGAGTATGGAGAGGCCATAACAGGTAATCTGCTAAGATGGATATGAAATTGTGGGGTGGGATATATAGGAGAGGAGGGAGAGTAAGACCTGATGCTTGACTGCCTGCTTCACCGGCCTACTTGTTTTAGCTGGAAGCTTCTAAGGCAATGCTTACTGGAGTTGGGGGCTGGGATAACTGGATGAATGGGGAGGAAGGTTGGAGATCTTCCTGATGCAATGGAGGTAAAGGCATGGAGGAGGGACAGGCCACAGCAGGTAGCCAGACCCAAAGCTGGGGACAGAATTTAAAGAGGGAGAAGGAAAGATCTGCAGTTAGCCTACCTGCTTCTGTCTGGAGGACAAGGACTGTTTTATGATAGAGCATATGGCAGACTTGAGGTCAATGCTGAGCCTGTCCAGTGGATTAAATATATGATGGATTAACCTGTGTGTATAGAGTGGATTTTCTTCTCATACTCTTCATAGGTCTCATTAACTCTGTCTTTAAGTCACTCTTCCCCACAAACCTAAATCCAGACAATTCCTTTTCTGAATTTGGGCTATTTTATTTGGATCAGCTGAACAATGAGGGACTAAACAAATTCAAGTTACTCCTAAAGGGGAATGTAGATCCTGGATGCTGTTCAATACCAGAGACCACACTGGAGGCCAAGTGGGAGAAACTGGTTTACTTGATAAACAAATACTATCCAAGAGGGCAAACCTGGAACGTGGCTCTTGAAACATTTTGTTAAGATGAACCTGAGGGATACGTGTAAAGAGTAAAACAGAGTCCAACTATGTTGCTAAGGAACTATCCGGAAGTAGGCACAAGCTGTTTTCGTGGGGACGTTGGATCATTTGAGGAACATTTTGTAATTTACAGTTTTGTATTGTAATCTGCATTACAATTGAAAGTACCTGTGCCTAAACTACAGATCAAATCAAAACCTTTGAGGACTCTCAGATATGATCAACATATTTGCTGACATGAGTAATGGGCTAAAAAGGCAAACTCAAATAATACTGTTATTATTTTGTGAAATTTTATGTTTAATGTTTAAAATTCATGAGCAGCACCCAGTCTTCATATGTGAGGCTCTCGTTTGTGTGTGTCCACATACACATTATCTCCTTTGAACTTTGCTTACACTCCCTCCGAAGTCAGAACAAGCAAGGGAGCTTTGCGCCTGATGATAGAGCAGAGAGAGGGCAAGAGGTCCACCCCAAAGTTTCTACCAAATTTTCTCCTCAGCTATGCTGTGGCAGCTTGAAACTCTTGGCTCTAGTTTTACTAAATCCCGATTGAAATAGAATCACAACACAGAAAAATTTGACCCTCATTCATAAAGCTCATCTTGGAACCTGTTGCAGGGACAACAAAACCATGGAGTTGGAGGATGCTGAGGTGATGGAAGACCAAGTTTCTGAAGAGAAAATGCTGTCTGAGGACCAAGACTTTGGTCAGTTTAGCATTAAGATGTCATTAAGGACCATTATTCAGTTGGGCAGTTTACTTCCAATGCACCACTGTTCTGTCATTCAAAGTCAATAAAACTGTATTTATGATCAAAGTGAAAGTCAAAACCATGTTGACTTTGGGATATCAAGAAAACAGTATTCAGAAATGCCTAGTCAAAAGTTAGCCTAGGGAGCTGGAGAGATTGCTAAGTAATTAATAACACTTGATGCTCTTCCAGAAGATCTGAGTCCAGTTCCTAATACTTATATGGCTGAAAGAAAAAGGGAAGGTGGACAGAGAAAAGAGGAAGGATGGGCAGAAAGAAGAGCAAGGGTGGGAGTGAGAATCTTAACACTGAAATTAAAGATATTCAATGTGGGTATGGTTCTTTTCTAACAGACTTTAGGTGATGGAACAGACTACAGAACTGTAATAAAGAAAAATTTTGTGTTGCATGGGATAAGAACTCTTTGTCTGGAGAATCTGCAACTTTATATCAGGGAATTATTCAGAAAGAACAAAAGCTGTTGGAGAATGTATTTGATATGGATATCAACACTTACAAGATGCGACAAACAGTCATCCTTTATGGAGCTGCTGGAGTTGGAAAGACAACACTGTTGAGAAAGGCAATGTTAGAATGGGCAGATGGCAATCTCTTCAAGAAGTTTGCCTATGTTTTTTATCTCAGTGGGAGAGAAATTAGTCAAATGAAGGAGAAAAGCTTTGCTCAGTTAATATTCAAGAACTGGCCTAGTTCTGAAGTCCCCACTGAACAGATCCTGTCCGAGTCCAGAAATCTCCTTTTCCTGATTGATAGTTTTGATGAGCTGGACTTCTCATTTGAAGAGCCAGAGTTTGCACTATGTAATGACTGGACCCAGGAGCACCCAGTGTCCTTTCTTATTAGTAGTTTGCTGAGGGAAGTGATGTTTCCTCAATCATTCTTGTTAGTAACAGCAAGATCCACAGCATGGAAGAAACTGACGCCCTTGTTACATAAACCTCATTGCGTAGAGCTGCCGGGGCTGTCTGAGAATGCAAGGATGGACTACATTCAGCATTTCTTTCTGAACGATAAGAAATGAGCTAAAGGTGCGATCTATCAATAAGGAAGAATCCACGACTTTTCAACATGTGCCGTGTCTGCCAAGTGTGCTGGGTGGTCTGTACTTGTCTGAAGCAGCAAGTGGAGAAAGGTGGCAATATTGCAATGACCTGCCAAACCACCACAGCTCTGTTCACATGCTATGTCTGCAGCTTATTTTCACGAACAGATGGGAGCTCTGTTACTCTGCCCAATGAAACCCTACTGAGGAGCCTGTGCCAGGCAGCTGCTGAAGGTATTTGGACTATGAAGCATATACTCTACAAGAGAAATCTCAGAAAACATGAGTTGACCAGAGATGACATCTCAGTCTTCTTGAATGCGAAGGGTCTTCAGGAGGACACCGAGTATGAGAACTGCTATGTGTTCACTCACCTCCAAATTCAGAAGTTTTTTTTTTTTGGAGCTTTGTTCTACTTGCTAAGAGAGTATCCAGAAGAAAAAGATTATCCCCTCAAACCTTTTGAAAGCTTGTATCTTTTACTTGAAAGCAACCATTCTGAGGACCCTCATTTGGAACAGATGAAATGCTTTTTGTTCGGACTACTGAATAAAGAGCAAGCAGGGCACCTGGAAGAAACGTTCAACTTTCCTATTTTCATACATTTTCATACAGAGAAATGGATCTATATGAAAGCATCCTTGATGAAGCATTGGCGAAGATTATAAATGAAGAATTAAGTCACCCGAAGTGCAAACTACAAAAACTACAGTAAGTCTTAGGTGGGGAATTGTTGTGTGTGTGTATGATTTTTTGTTTTGAGACAGGGTTTTTTCTGTGTAGCCCTGGCAGTCCTGGACCTTGCTCTGTAGACTAGGCTGGCCTTGAACTCAGAAAGCTGTCTTCCTCTGAGTGCTGAGATCAAAGGAATGGGTCAATGTCTCCTGGCACAGGGGAAATTTTAATGGAGTATTCCCATTGGTCTTCTTTGCCCTACCTTCTACCCTTGTTACAGTTATGCTATTGTACAAAGAATATTACCCTAAGAAACAGGAAAGGCATGGATAGTACGTGGGGGGGCGGGAAGGACAGCCCTCCCACTAAGCTGCTTATTCTAACCACGCTGCACCTAGGTAATGTTTCTTTCTATCTCTTCCTCAGAGCACCTCTGGCTAATGACCAAGATTTTGACATCTAAATATTTAGAATAGGGCCCTGGGGAGGTCAATCGGGGCAAGAAAACAAATGAAAACAGAATATAATGACACATCCATCTGGAGAAGAACTACATTACTTTGTATGGAAACATAAATAACTTTTTTTTTAAAAAAAAGTATTTTAGGATTAAAAAGAAAAATATATAAATTATATTATAATCTAAAAAAACAAAAAAAATCCTCCTCCAGTTTCTTTGAATACTGACCTAACAGAAAAATTAGTTTAAATATAAACCTGAGGGCTGGGAAAGATGGCTCAGTGGTTAACAGCACAGGCTGCTCTTCCAGAGGACATAAGTTCAATTACCAGTACCTGCATGGAGGTTCACAACCATCTTTGTCTCCTGTTCCAGGCCTTACTGGCCTTTTTGGGCACCAGGCATGCACATGGAACACCCTCATTCACGCAGGCAAAACATTCATATACATATAATATACAATAAAACGATAATTTAAAAAAGCAAATACCTGTTGAAAAACAAACTTGAAAGAGAAATTTCAGCTTTGTGGACATAGCCAATAAAAGACAGACCTACTAGGGCATAATCCAGACTGAAACACCTCCTGCCCAGTCTGACGCCTCTGGACCTTTACATCATGGGGACCACAGTAACTGTGGGTTTCAGTTTTGCTTTCAAACAAACAGGTGTCTTTAGCTCATCTCTGACAGAATGGGAGAAAAATCAGATCTATTCTTTCTGATATCATCTCACTCAGTTCTTCCTTTCATCTCTCCCTTGCCCTCCAAGACAGTTCCTAGCTCAAAGTCCACAACAATAGAGTCCCAGAAAACCTACTCCAGCTCTTCAAGAGTGCAGGTTGGCTGCTGAAGGACGTGACACAGAAGCTTTATCCCACTGTCCTCAAGCCTGTTTGCTCCCAGGTCCAGGTGTACCAAATTCCTGTTGTTCAGCAGAGCAGTGGAGAGGAAATCACTACCAACCGGAGTGAAAAGGCAACACCGCAAGCTACAGGGAAGCACAGAATGAGTTAAGACGGAGTCGTCTCTACCGCCCAGCGCCGGTCTCATCTGCTCCACAATCCTCAGATCCGACCTCTTACTGCCAGCCTGTCCCCGTATGAGTCACTTAGGTCAACATCAAACCCTTACAACTGGACTCATGTTCTTCAGAGCCAATTCCAATGTCTGTTTCCACTTTTCTGAAACAAGGTCTCAACTCTGCAGCAGACTGGCCTACTACTCACTGTAGGGCCCGTCGGGTTTGAAACTCAGTAATTTTCCTGCTCAGTCTCCCTGGTTCTAGGATTGCACCTGGCTCAGCTTTCCACACTATAAATCAAATGGGGATCTTTGTTTTCCTCAAAGTGCACTTTCGGAAGAGAAGCCATGGAACAGAGAGGCAGGCATGAGTTGTGTCACAGAAAGTGTTCTTTCTTTACATTAAATAGGGATATTTTTATCAGTAAAAGCGACATTGTACCATTAATAATTTGGGTATAACAAGCCTTATAAATGGGGGGAAATAATTATAAATGGGGGGAAATAATTACAACTCTTAAGATTAGTTTTGAAAAGGTTAATATGTAAATGTTAAATTCAGAAAAATTTGGAATTTCTCATGTAAATGTTAATAAAATTAGACAAAAATTACCTTTCTAAAAGGTATTTCTATTTATGACTAAAAAAATTTAGGATTCATGAGGCAGAATGACTTTCAAAAAATTTACTCATCTGGGCTGGGTTAATGTAGTACATGCCTATAATCTCAGCAATTGGGAGGCTGAAGCAGGAGTATTGTCAAATTCAAGATTAGCCTAGATTACATGGCAAGTTCAAAACTAGCCCAACTGACACAAGACTGTATCTTAAAAACAATTTTTAATATAACAATCTGTAAATTACCATAAAGTTAGAAATAGAGCAACAAATTAGGAAAATTATTTCTAGTATATAAAATAAGTATTCATGATAATAATCAGATACCATCTAGTATATAAAATAAGTATTCATGATAATAATCAGACAGCATGTTTTTTGTTTTTGTTTTTCGAGACAGAGTTTCTCAATACCTATGGAGTCAGTCCTGGAACTTGCTCTGTAGACGAGGCTGCCCTTGAGCTCAGAGTCCTCCTGCTTCTGCCTCCCTAATGCTGGGATTAAAGGTGTGTGCCACCACCACTGGGCAGCAAACATAACATTTATAATAGAAAACATCCAGAGGAAGCTGGAGTCTTTGAAGAAGCAATTCCTAGAATACGAAAAGCCCTACATATCTACAAACCATGCTCAAGTGATTTAAAAGTTGTGTTTTTAAAGATTTTAATAGTGTATATGTATATGCATATGCAAACATATATGTATATACATCCATTCTAAACTATTCTGTATTGGGAAGGGGCCTAAGGCTCTGGAGAGCACACTGTGGATGTTTCAAGGCATCGCTGATAAGTTCTATCCCTTCATCTCCCAAGAGGTTGTCTGCCAAGCACAAATGTGTCAGCCTCCTGCTTTCAGTGAGACCAAAGGAAAGAATGCCACAAACATCTTTTGTGAAGCCAGTGTTTGCTAAGCTGAAGGAGAAAACAGATGAGAAAGGAACCATTCAGTTTCAAACCATCTTGCCATGTTTAATGAGAAAATCACCTGATCCTTATACCAGTCACTTTTCCTATAGAATCAACCTTGACAGATATTTAAATTGTGAATTCTGCTGTATCTAGATTTAGGAGAGAATGAAACAAAACTGGAGAAGACTAGAAGAACATAAAAAATAGTTTTAAAATATTTAAAAACCAAGTTAAACATAAAAAAGTTGGGCTGAGGAAATAGCTCAGTTGGTAAGTCCTTGCCACACAAGCATGAGGATCACCATTTTGATCACCAGAACCATCTAAAAAGTTGAGTATGGCAGAATGTGGTTATAAACCCAATTCTAGGAGAGTGAAGACAGGTAGATCTCTGGGACCTGTGCTGGTCAGCCAGCTTAGCCTATTTGGTAAGATCCAGGCCAATTAAAGATTGTCTCAAAAAAATAAGGTGGATTACTCCTGAGGAACGATACCCAGAGTTGACCTCTTGGGTACTATCAGGGTTGGCTTCCGCATACACATACATGAATTTATACATAGTACCTGTGCAAGGACAAGCATTGAAAATGCCATCCAATATAACACACAGACACAAAGACAGAGAGGGAGGTGGGGAGAGAGTAGGGGGAAGAGTGGAGGGTGATGGAGAGGGAGACACAAATACAGCAACACAGAGAAACAAAAGCGGAGACAGAGAGGACACACGCAGGGGACGCACACACGCAGGGGACGCACACACGCAGGGG